TAGAGTAGAGTAGAGTAGAGTAGAGTAGAGTAGAGTAGAGTAGAGTAGAGTAGAGTAGAGTAGAGTAGAGTAGAGTTTTATAGTGTCATAGAGTACAAAAAAGTGTCGTAGAGTAGAGTAGAGTAGAGTTTTATAGTGCCATAGAGTACAAAAGAGTGTCGTAGAGTAGAGTAGACTGTTGTAGAGTGGTGTAGAGTGTCGTACAATATTGTAGAGTACAGTGTCGTAGAGTGTCAGAGAGTAGACTAGAGTATAGTGTTGTAGAGTAGAGTATTGTAGAGTGTCGTAAAGTAGAGTGTCATAGAGGACAGTGTCATAGAGTACAGTAGAGTAGAGTAGAATACAATAGAGTAGAGTATTGTAGAGTAGAGTAGAGTAGAGTAGAGTAGAGTAGAGTAGAGTTGAGTAGAGTAGAGTAGAGTAAGTGTTATAGAGTGTCGTAGAGTAGAGTAGAGGATCGTAAAATATCTTTGAGTAGAGCAGAGTGTCGTGGAGTGGAGAAGAGTACAGTGTTGGAGAGTGGCCTAGAGAAAGTAGAGAAGAGTAGAGTGGCCTAGAGAAAGTAGAGTAGAGTAGAGTAGAATATCATAGAGTAGAGTAGAGTACACTGTCATGGAGTAGAGAAGACTATCCTACAGTATCGTAGAGTAGAAAAGAGTGTTATAGAGTAGAGTGGAGTGTCGTAGAGTAGAGTAGAGTAGAGTTCGTAGAGTAAAGTGTCAGTAGAGTGTCATAGAGTAAAGTAGAGTATCGTAGAGTAGACTGTCGTAGAGTAAAGTAGAGTATCGTAGAATACAGTGTCATAAAGTGTCTTAAAGTAGAGTGGAATATACTAGAGTAGAGTGTAGTAGAGTAGAATGTAGTAGAGTCGAGTGTAGTAGAGTAGAGTATAGTATAGTAGAGTAGAGCAGAGTAAAGTAGAGTTGAGTACACTATAGTAGAGTAGAGTAGAGTACAATGAAGGAGAGTAGAGTGTTATATAGTGTCATAAAGTAGAGTATAGTAGAGTAGAATAGAGTCTCGTGCCATAGAGTGTCGTAAAGTGTTAGAGACTACATAAGAGTGTTAGTGACTCCGTCGTAGAGTAGAGTACACTGTCGTAGAGTAGAGTAGAGTACAGTACAGTACAGTAGTGTAGACATTCGAAAAGCAGAGTAGAGTAGATTGGAGTGTCGTAGAGTATAGTAGAGTAAAGAGTTATAGAGTAGAGTAGAGTTGAGTAGAGTACATTGTCGTAGAGTGTCGTAGAGTGTCGTAGAGTGTCGTAGAGTGTCGCAAAGCAGAGTAGAGTAGAGTGTCATAGAGTGTCACAAAGTACTATAGAGCAGAGTAGAGTAGAGTAGAGTGTCATAGAGTGTCGCAGAGTACTGCAGACAACAGAAAAATTCCCATGAGAAATGAAAGTTGAAAAAACGTTCCATAAAAAAAAAATCCTTCATATTTATAAATTATCATTCCAATGTTTGTCCAATTCTAAAATTTCCAATTTAATTGATAAGTTCCCGTCTAATTAGCAGTTTTGCCTTCCAACTACATCTATTTGTCCAAGATGGAATGAAAGTCTGGACGAGTTTATTAAATGTTTTAATTAGACTTTTATTCTACGACAAGAAATGTCGTCTAATTTAGATTGGATTAACCTATTTATGACTGGAAATCCTTACTTAGAATGACATTCCAATTAAAATATTTCATAAACTCATCTAGACTTTCATTCCATCTCTAGCATGCAGTTCAAATAAGAAGGGATACCCTATTCTTGGAAGGAAAGTTTTCAAGTAAGACATAAAATTTTAAAATTGGAATAACATTTTTTAAGATGGAATGAAAATTTGAAATTTAGAATGTAATTTTACTCTAGAATGATTATTTAATTCTGGGAAATTTTTCTGTTGGAGTTGTGGAGTCATCCGCCTGAGCGCAAGAAAATCGCGGAGGTCGGGATACTTTTCTCGTTGCCCGACACGTGATATAGCATAAAAAAAACACCAAAAATGGAATATAGGACGAATTGGCGCGATATTTATTTCACGATCTTAAATATTTTTTTAATATGTTTGTGGAAGACCACGACCAAACCTGCAGGTCCTTCAATTCTCAGCGTTGTGGAGTTATTTTTTTTAGCGAAAAAATCGCAGAGGTTGGGGTACTTTTTCGTTTTGCCAACACGTGCCAAAATGGAGAATGCAAGGAAACGGCGCGGTGTTTATTTCACGAATCGGGATCTAGTTTTTTTATTTGCATTTTTTTTATATTTTTCCTAGAAACTTCACAACGTAATCTACAGGATCTCGATTTTACATTTTTTTTTTCTTCTTCTGAGGGCTAAAAATCACCAAAGTTGGCACTTGAAAACTGCGGGACAGGACCGGCCTACCACACTGTGCAACGTTAGGGTTTGGACACACAGGCACATCCTGACCTGCTAGCTACCGGACATCGGATACATTTCTTAAAAGAACAGTCCCCAAAACCACATAGGGACCCAACTCACCTGAGTGGTAAAAGAGCAGGCAGTTGCATATTTCGAATCTGTGCGTGGGTTTTAAATGCCAACAGCAACCATTAGCAACGAACTTTATAATATAATATTTGTGTG